TGACATTTCTACCCTCACTGCCCTGGCTGTCCGGTGACATTTCTACCCTCACTGCCCTGACTGTCCGGTGACATTTCTACCCTCACTGCCCTGGCCGTCTGGTAGCATTTCTACTCTCACAACTTTGGCTGTCCGGTAACATTTCTATAGACTTTAAATTATGTCTGCTGGCACCATTTGTGTGGCTTCTCTTAACCACCAGAATTGCTTGTTTGGGGAAGATTTAGATTAATCATAAGATACAATACAAAGAATGATAAAGTTTTATCAGTTTGGTGTCTATAGTCTGAAGGAAAAGTCACTACTTTCCAACATAATTCTATATACTCTCAGGTTAGGGTAGCAGAAATATAATCTCTAGAAAATATCAGTTTACTTCTCAGGCCAAATGAGTGTAGTTAGAGATTAATTCAATGTGCCTTTATAGCCAGCCTGCCTCAGATGCTTACGGAATTTCACAAGGTGGAGCCACCCTCCCAGGCTGCTCACTTCATTACACATTCAGCCCATGCTAACTTCTAATGAGAATGTGTGTACATGATTTGCTCAAGAATCTGCAGTGAAGGAATCTGCACGCCATGTACATTCTCAGTGGAAGCTGGCTCTCCCCTACCTGGGAAATCTACTAGGAAAGAAACGCCCGCGGTAGGTGTTCTGCTGACACAGAGCGGCACTGGGATCCAGCCAGCAACAGAAATCATGTGATTTACTTCTAGTTTCTTACCAATTGAGTAAAGAAAACAAATCATGGAAATGGGATTTGAGAGGAATTAACGGTCAGCCCACCCAGCCTGTCTCAGTGCTGGCCAGTGGAATGTTTGGGTTCCTGCTGAGACTCTTTAACTAAACCTTACACATACGCATGCTCCAGGGTGCTCCGCTGGCCTTGGGGTGCTCTGTGGCCTCCAGCAGCTCCTTTTAAGGGCACTTTGATGAGATGCAGCTGAGGCCTGGCGGTGGCTGAGCCTCTGTCATGAGCTTTCAGATGAGACCAGTTTTCTCCCAACTTCAATGTACACATGAATTTGTCTCCAAACATAGCTTCTGATCTGTCCCTGGTGTCTGTGGTCAGCATTTCTGATAAGCTCTGGGATGCCCACAGGGCATGCTCTGAGCAGCAGCACTGTCAGGAGGAAGGCAGTGCCCCCAAGTGTGTGGCCTGAGAGGGTGCATCCAGCTCTGACCACGCGTAACCCCTATGCATTAGCAATCCAGAGAACTCTGAAGCTTTTCCAGGTTTTAAAACCCAGATGCCAATTAAATTCAGAAGCACCCTGTAAGAGCAACCTGTAAGCACAGTAGACACACTGATCATGCTTTTTGGAAATTCTCACATGTCCTGGGGAACAGTACATGGGAGATGTGAATTACACAGTATCCCCAGGTGCAAATGGACATGCTCTTTCAAGCAGACTGATGCCTTTTTCTCATCAGAATGTGGGGCTCGTCCGGACTTACTAACTCTGTCTGAGGAGAGAGTCACTGGGAGCTCTAGGGCACAGGTGGGTGACTGGCCATGGCAGGTCAGCCTGCAGGTGCACGGTGCCCACCACTGCGGAGGTGTCCTCATCAGTAAGGCCTGGGTACTGACGGCAGCACACTGCTTCAAAAGGTAAGGGAGCAGCCTCCTCCCCCTCTGAGGAAAGTTAGGGTAGACAGGTGCAGAAAGACTCTACCCACTGCCCCAGGATTGGACTGAGCCAGAAATAATTCAAAGCAAAAAGAAAGTCTTTTCTTCCTATTCATGAGTGCAAAAATACTTTTCCTCCTTTAGCTTGCTAATTTACTGCTATTTCTCTGTTTCAGATTATAGTGTATCATCATAGTAAAAAACAAATATTTATATGTCAGAATGTCTAATCTAAATCTTGGCTATGCAAGCTTAGGAAATTTACTGAACTGCCACAAACCTCATTTGCTTTTCAAGTTGGGACAATATCATTATCTATGTCTTAACATGTTTGGTAGAATCAAGTACATTAATGTCAACCTGTGCTAAATGTTAACAAAATGAATTGCTTTAGAAGATTTGAACGTGATATCATGGAAGCTGGTTGGCAGGATTATGGTTACCGTAGAGACTGTCCCAGGCCATTAATTTATTCTTCAAAAAATAATTGAGTATCTAGTATGAACACAGTGTTCCATAAAAAGAAGCTACAATATACACAGAATACTGCCTCTGCCTTCAAGGAGCTTATATTCTAATGATGGAATTAGAATACACAAAACACTGAGTGAGAAATATAAATAAAATAAGTTTAGATAGGCTGTGAGAATTCTCAATTGAGGTGACTCAGCACTATTGCTGACACGAGGATGTTTTACCCTCTCAGTAAAGAAAAGCTTATACTGCTCATAATAGGAGGATTTTAGGCTTCAGCATGACTAAAATCTGTTAGTTCCAGACCTACCTTGTTACTAAGGCATCTTAGATCTCAGTGATCATGAACTAAACTTGAAAAGTTCACCCAGAAGTGTGATGGTGATCGGTGTGTTGGGCTGGTCTGCATCTGCCTCCTTCCCACCCACCTCCAGCCTCCACAGTCAGGCCCAGACTCACTTCCCAGAGCCTATGCCCTGAACTTTAGAGAAACAGCCCTCATCCTAAGACTCTGCCTATATTTCCTTACCTCTGAGCATCTGCTCAGTCTGCTGCTTCTCTCTGAAATGTTAATATCCTTCTACATCTCAATTTCCACCTATTCAAATTTTTTGAAATCTTGACAATTTTAAAGAAATCCTTTTCAGACTTGAGGGCATTCCCTATAACACAGTGCTACAGTGTTATAGACTATTTGTTACGAAACCAGAGTAGAGTTTCTAAATTAAAGCTTTAGTAAACCCCAAATTGTTCCAAATTTTTCTTATAGCTGTCCTATAATTTAAAATTTTTATACACCATAAATAAATTTGAAATTTTAAAAGATACAGAATTATCAAACTTTGATTTAGGGTGTTTGTCACTAAGAGCTGCAGTGACAGACATTGGTCCTCACTGAGACCCCACAGTGATACTTGGTCCTCACTGAGACCCTGCAGAGAATCTTGGTCCTCACTGAGACCCCACAGTGACAGTTGGTCCTCACTGAGACACCGCAGAGACACTTGGTCCCACTGAGACCCCACAGTGACAGTTGGTCCTCACCAAGACCCTGTAGTGAATCTTGGTGCTCACTGAGACCCTGCAGTGACACTTGGTCCTCACTGAGACTCTGAAGAGAATCTTGGTCCTCACTGAGACCCTGCAGTGAATCTTGGTGCTCACTGAGACACCGCAGAGACACTTGGTCCCACTGAGACCCCACAGTGACAGTTGGTCCTCACTGAGAGCCCACAGTCACATTTGGTCCTCACTGAGACCCCACAGAGATACTTGTCCCTTACTGAGAGCCCACAGAGACTATGGTCCTTACTGAGACCCCACAGTGATACTAGGTCCTCACTGAGACCCTACAGAGACACTTGGTCCCACTGAGACCCCACAGTGACAGTTGGTCCTCACTGAGAGCCCACAGTCACACTCGGTCCTCATTGAGACCCTATAGTGACACGTGGTCTTACTGAGACCCTGCAGAGACACTTGATCCTCACTGAGACCCCACAGTGATACTTGGTCCCACTAAGATCCCACAGAGACACGTGGTCCTCACTGACACCCCACAGAGACACTTGGTCCTCACTGAGACCCTACAGTCAATCTTGGTGCATACCTGCAGTGACACTTGGTCCCACTGAGACCCCACAGAGACACTTGGTCCTCACTGAGACCCCACAGAGGTACTTGGTCCTCACTGAGATGCCACAGTGACTGTTGGTCCCACTGAGACCCCACAGAGGCACTTGGTCCTCACTGAGACTCCACAGTGACACTTGGTCCTCACTGAGACTCCACAGTGACAATTGGTTCTCACTGAGACCGTACAGTGACAGTTGGTCCTCTCTGAAAGCCTGCAGTGAATCTTGGTCCTCAATGAGATCCTGCAGTGACAGTTGGTCCCACTGAGACCCTGCAGAGACATTTGGTCCTCACTGAGACCCCACAGTGACACTTGGTCCTCACTGAGAGCCTGCAGTCACACTTGGTCCCACTGAGATCCCGCAGAGACACTTGGTCCTCTCTGAGAGCCTGCAGTGATGCCTCGTTGGGGCATGACCAACCTTACCCCAGAGCACACAGATGTGACAAGGCCTGACAGAGAGGAGCTATCACATTTCCATATCTTCTTGAAGCTCTCCCCTTGCTGTCTTCTCATCATGTTCCCCAGAAGCTGATCTGTCTGTAACAGCTGTCCTTGTGATTTCAGAGTTTGCTTGTTCCTATCAGATGCCCCCAGTAGTGAGCTGAGCTCCCAGACACTTAGATGTTGGTCGTATGAAGCAGGCACTGGATGATGGCTTGCTGAACACAATTAATGAAAACAAATGTTACCTTCATTGAGTTCTTAACTTGAGCCAAGCACTGTGCTTCACATAACAGCAGGGGTCCCTTAACAGCAGGGAGAGTGTCAGTCACAGTCTACATATATATAACCTGAGAACCAGAGACCTCAATTAACTTGCTATAAATAATGCTATCATATGTGGCACAGCCAAGTCTTAAGTATAAATCTCACTGGTTCCAAAGCCATGCCCTTATTCACTTGCTGGGGAAAACGGAAAGGAAGAACAGAAAGAAAGGAAGAAGGGAGCGGAGAAGAGAAGAGAAAGGGAAAAGGCGAGAAAGAGGGGCCTTTTCAGAGTCTTCATTGTAAAGACTGTGACCAAAAGTAGATGTGCATAAAAAAAATCATAGATTTGTTTAATATTTTTTCCTCAGAATTTTTAACTAGGGTTTACTCTTACACAAGAGTACCTTATAAAAGTATTTTGTAGACAAATGATTTTTATTTCCTATGTTAATGCTACTACCTAAATTCCACACAATTCTTCAATTAGTCTTATTTGGTCACATTTTATTTTTATTGAATCCACAGGAGTAATGTTAAATTAGTTAGCCCCTAGTCCACAGATCTTCACTTTCATCAATTGGTATGAGGCTTTTTCTCACTTTATGCTTTTTCCTCCTGTCATCCCTGGGTGCCCCAGTGCAGCCTCCTCTCCCACTTGCCTCACAAGGACCTGTGTGAAATACATCTTCAGCACACCTGTGCCTTCAGTCCACAGTGGTGTGTGTGTGGGGGGGGGTCTTTAATTTATGTGAGTGACATTGTGTATGTGTCACACAGTATTTCTTGCTGTTTTCACTCAAGCCTGGGAATTTTTATCTGGTCTCCTGCTGCATAACCTTCTGTCACACACACCCATCACATGCATCTGTTACACGCACTTGTCACACGCATCTATTACACACACCCATCACCCGGACCCCTGACACACATCTGTCAAATGCACCCATCACACTCACCCATCACATGCATCTGTCATATGCACCCATCACATGCACCTGTCACATGCATGTTACCCACATCCATCACATGCTCCTGTCACATACATCCATCACATGCATGTCCATGCACCCTTCACATGTATCCATCACACACACCTCTCCCACACATCTGTTACACGCAGCTGTCACATGTACCTATCACATGCATCTTTCACACCTGCCCATCACATGCATCCCCGTGTTCTTCATCCAATTCGGTTGCTCTATCTCTCACTGCCACACAGCACATATGTGTCTTTCTATTAGCCTTCAGGAGTGTCTTTGTAATGCATACCCACTAGTACACACTCTGTGCACTGTGTATGCCAGAATGCTTTCTGGAAGCGTGCATCTTCCCCAGTAATGTAAAAAGAGTTCCAATTTCTTTCTGCACAAACATTTGTATTACCTTCTTATTTAATTTTTGCCATTCTTTTATATATACATTACATACTCATTTTTATGATTTCATTTTCTCAGATTACTTGTGAGTTTGAGCATCTTCACACATGACTAGGAGCTGTTTAGGTGTCCCCTTCATGAGTTTCCATGAATATTCTTTGTCCACTTTATAATAGTTTTCCTGTTCATTTGTTATTGGTTTATAAACTTTTTAAATATATGCTACAAAATTTTAGATGTTATACATTGTCAGTATGTTTAATAATGGCCTAGGTTTTCTTATACATCTGGTAAATTTATCTATGGTATGCTTAATTTTTATTAAATGAAATTCATTAATTTTTTTACTTTTTGGTTTGTATTTTTTATATTTTACCAAAAAGTTTCAAATCCTAAGTCACAAAGATAATGTCCTCCTTTTCTTTAATGCCAGTGCCCACTCTCATTCTCTTCCCACATGTGTATATACACCCGTATTGCTTACGTACGCACACATCAATAAGTTTATGAAAAAAATGAAACTTAAAGATAAAAATAAAACATATAAACTTTATTTTTTTCAATATAAGCTCCATTAAGTTCAAGGCACTTTTTAAAATAATTATTCTATCCATTGAATCCATCCCTAAAGAGCCAGCAGTCTTAGGAATTAAACCATGTCAACACAGAGGTTTTATACTATTAACTAGAGAAAAATGAGTTCCCTTTAAAAAGTCTTTTTTTTTTTAGTTGAGACAGAGTCTCACTTTGTCACTCTCAGTAGAGTACAGTAATGTATTATCTCACAGCAACCTCAAACTCTTAGGCTCAAGCGAGTTCTCTTGCCTCAGCCTCCCAAGTAGCTGTGGCGCCTGCCACAATGCCCAGCTATTTTTTGGAGACAGGGTCTTGCTCTTGCTCAGGCTGGTCTTGAACTAATAAGTTCAGGCAATCCATCCACCTTGGCCTCTCAGAGTGCCTTTAAAAGTCATAACTACAACTCAGACTTTATCCTACAAATGCAAACAAATTGTATGTACCCCCATACTAATCCACCCCAAATTTTTAAAGATTAGGAAACAAAAGAAGTTAGAAGGGGCCAAATCAGGGCTGTAAGATGGATGCCTAATGATTCCCACTGAAAATCTTGCAAACTTGGCCTTGTTTGATGAGAGGAGTGGACAGGAGCACAGCAGAGAAGAACTCTCTGAAGATCTCCAGGATGTCTTTCTGCTGAAGCTTTGGCTAATGCTCTCAAAACACTCTCAGAATGAGCAGATGTTATTGCTCATTTGGCACTCCAGAAAGCCAACAAGCAGAATTCCTTGAGCACCCCAAGGCCTGCTGGCTGGTCCACTTCTGCTTTGACTGGATTCTGCCCACCTCTTGGTAGCTTGCTCTGATTTGCTTTGTGTTTAGGATTGTTCTAGGCAGAGCATGTTTCATCTCCTACTAAAATTCTCCCAAGAAATGCTTCAGGACCTTGATTCTACTTGTTTAAAATTTCCATTCAAAGTTCCGCTCCTGTCTGCACCTGATCTGGTGCAGCAGTTTGAGCACCTGTCAGGTTGACTTTACATTTTTGGTCAGAATTATGCACCTAGAGCCACTGGGCTGCTATGTTGTGGCTACTGTTTCTGCTGTTTGTCACTGGTCCTGTTCAGTCAGGGCACAAACAATGTGGATGGCCTGTCCCTGCGAGCTTCTTCAGCATCAGCTTGTTCCTTCTTAAAATTAATTATCCATCTGTCAACTGTGGATTTCTTTTGGGCATTATCTCAATAAACTTTTTATAAAGTACCAATAATTTCACCTTCCTCCACCCAAACTTTACCATAAAATTGTTGATTTTTTTTGTCTGTTTTGTTTTGTTTTACTTCATTTTTTTCAGACTTTATGCTGCTATGATAGGGCCTCTTTTCAAATTGATGTCTCTCTTTTCTTTTTTTCCTTTTCAGTGCTTCAAACTAGATCCTGCCCAGACATATTATAACAAGTCAGTACAAGTTCATTTCAGTGAAAAACAAATTTGAAATCCAAACATGCATAGTTTGTTCATGATGCACATTCTCCATGAACTTTCTGAAGACCTTCATATACATACACACACGTAACAAAATTTCCAGTAATTATCAGACTTAGTGCAGAAAAATCATTCATTTATTAATAAGACAAGGGTGTCCCTTGTAATAACTACTATTTAAATGTAGCTTCTGGCTAAAAGTAAAGAGAGGAAAAAGGAAGAGATGTTCATATTTCAGATTTCTAGTTTCTTGCATGGAAGGGTAGAGAGATATCAAGGAGGAAATTTGTGTTATAGGAGCTATCTTCAAAGTATCAGAATATCCTCCTTGGAATAGAAAAATACCAAGATGTTCCTTATACCAAGATTGTTTTCTAAAATCTTTCTCAATTCCTTTAGACAAATGACCACTAATTTTTTGTGTGAAGAGTTAAACGTATTTACCAGCTTCTAATGCTGAAATATATAGTGAAGAGATACAGATCCTATAGTTCCCAGATGGCGATGGAGGTTGATAAATACAAATCTAAAATGCTCATAAACTCCATATTCAAATGGCATGTTTTCATATTTGTAGCAACTCTAATCCTCACCAATGGGCGGCCACCTTTGGTATTTACACGGTGTCTCCTCTGCTGAGAATAGGAGTCAGAAGGATTATAATCCACGACAGTTATAGACCTGCAACGCATGAGAATGACATTGCAGTGGTGGAACTTGAGAACAGCGTCACCTTTGACAAAAACATCCGCAGGGTGTGTCTCCCGGAGGCTGCCCAGAACATCCTGCCAGGCTCTCCAGCCTTCGTGACGGGATGGGGCGCGCTGGAGTACGGCGGTGAGTGTCTCGGGAAAATAGAGATTTTAACAGTAACCCAACCTCCTTTCGTTTGCTGTTAAGTAATTTTTTAAACCAGGAAACATGTAAAGGACAGATTCTACAGACAAAACCATCCTATATTTTAGTCACTCTAAGCTCTTGCTAGCCCTGAATTTCCTCAGCAAAGCAAAGCAATGCCCCTAGAAATTATCAGAAATTCTCGATTCCTGTAATGGCTGCTCCCTGGGAGGCTGTGTCACATGGCACCTCTTAGCCTTAACATACGATCTGGAGTTCCAGAAAAGGAAAGAGTTCATTTTCATGTCCGATAGAATTATTATATATATAAACCATTTCTTCGGTTTGGTTTCTTCAGCCCTCCCTCAAGATCCAAGTATCATGACTACATTTTCCAACACAGTTGACCTTACGCTCACTTCCCTGTGTCAGTGTTGCCTGTTGTCGGAGCAGTGGAGCTGGAGGTGCCAGGGCTCTCTTAGTGGGTACAGTTCTCAGCATCACAGGCGTCTGTGCTGCGTGGGGGATATGCTCCGAAGAGAAACAAACAGATGTGACTTTGAAGGACCTCCTGAATCAAACCTTGCCCTAAAAACCTTTGTGCTGTTGGGACTAAAAGTGAGCTTTGCTGTCTGAAAGTTTCCAAGAAACAGTAAATAGGAGAATTTCATATTCTTTGTTGTTTCCCTTAAAATGGAAACAAATTGGTAACTGGAAAAAATGTTTCTTTACAACAAGTGATGCACTAAATAATTCAGCCTATAATTTGTATGTGCTGGTTAGAAAGGGGGTCCAAGAAGTAAGATGGTTGAAATTTACATAATAATTCATAGTTTAAGAATTTTCAGACAGGAAGAAGGAAGCTTTTACACAGAATCCTAGGAAATCTCCACTGTTAAGTTATAATTACTGCCTCCTGAATTGTTGAGTAGTCTTTTCTCCTTATTTTTATTATATTTTTGATTTATCGATCAAATTAATATGGTATTTAGATATCACATAGCCAAAAACTGAAACATTTTTCTCTGGGTGAAAAACATTTAGAAAGATGTATTCAGTACATCTGATATTGAAATAGAAAACATATTTAATGTAAAAAAAAACCCTTTATATTAACATTGAAATGGAGAAGAGATTGAGTAACATCCCTATGATGAATACTATATTAAATATAAGCTCATTATGTTGTCAAAAAAAAAAAGAAATTCTCAAATATAGTAATTCTCTAATATAGTTATTGGAAATTTAAAAGAAAGTGATAAGAAAACATGAGTTATTCAGTAATTCAGAGATTCTATACAACTCAAACAGCTTTCCTATAAGGAAAAGAAAAATGACTAATAGCCTTTAAGATATTAATCACTCTTTAAGGTGCACTGGGACCAAACAAATCCTGCCTCTATGGCAGCACACTACATGTGTATATAATCCATGCTTGTACTTGTTTATTGAATGAGTAAGATGAAAGTTAAAAGGAGGGTAATGTGAGACAGCAAATTGGACCAAGGGGAGCATGAAAGTATCTCCCCAGGAGTGGAAGAGAAGCTTCAACAACTTCTCTGGGCTTTTACACATGTTGTAGATCACTTCCCCAAGGAATAATACAAAGCATTACTTGTTCTAGAAAATGTTTTATTATGTTTTATTTTTAACCCAAAGTAACTTGGAGTAATAAATAATATTTATACCAGTCATGAAAAAATATCATAGTGCCCTTTTGAGAGTGCATCAATATAAAATTAGTTAATGTTTTAGTCTTGGAACCAGAGACGTTTCTCTTCTGCTGCTCTATTAAAAGTTACTCAATACGAAATCTTCACATCCAAAATCCATCAATGAGTAATTCAAATACTACCAGACAATTTTAAGGCAACAAACTTATTTGTTTTCTCTGAAGATCTAAGGGCCACTGTAACACAAAGATAAGAAAAAAAGAAAAACATAAATGTGATGGGGTTATGCTTCTTTCTCTCTTATGGGGATTTTTTTCTGGGGAGAAACCCCATGTACATCTTTGGGAGATTTTTCTATATTGCTGAATAGGAATTAATGTTTGTAGTACATTTATTTATTTTCAAGTTAATCATAAAATCATTAATGTACATATCCCAAAGGCCATTTTTTCTGCTTTTATACTAAACAGGCACCACAGTTATAGATCTAAGGCAAGGACAGGTCAGAATAATAAGTAATAACATGTGCAATGCACCATCTGGCTATGATGGAGCCATCCTGTCTGGAATGCTGTGCGCTGGGGGACCTCAAGGCGGAGTGGATGCATGCCAGGTAAGTGCATGACAGTCTCACCGACATCATCCTCCAAAACTCAGAAGCACCTGCTAGCATGCAATAGCTTGGTTGGCATAATAGTAACAGTTACAGTACACAGCTCTAATTCTCTGGAAATGTATGATCTAGATTTTAAAAACAAGATTCTTTTATGAATCCAATCTATCACAAAAACACTAATTCTGAGGTACCAAATCACAGTTTGCTCTATGCAAAGCTCAGGAATCATAGAGACCTGATTTGAAGTATTTAACCTCCATAACAATAATACCATAACAATAATAGTACCTAACTTTTTAGATACTACAGATTAAATGAAAATTAAATATGTCAGGCACATACTAAGCAACACAGATTTCTATTTTACCATTGTTGTTAATGTGGACCATGATCACTAGAATTAATATCATAAATCTCCATGTTTTAACTGCTGTGGAAGATTAAATAAAAAGTAAACATTTGAGTCATAGACAATTAGTGAATTTTGAGAAATAAATAATAATTGGAACACCTTAAATATATAAAATTTGTACTAAAAGACTAGTTATTTGAGTCACAATAGCACCCACAATAGGGAAACAGCATGAAAAGAAAATACATAACTAGTTGGATCTAGTCAGGGATTTTTTTTTTTTTAATTAGAAACAGAGCCTTATTTTATCGCCTCAGTAGAGTGCTGTGATGTCACAGCTCACAGGAGCCTTCAACTCCTGGGCTTAGGCAAATTTCTCTTGCCTAAAAGACAAAAGCAAACAACAAATATGAAAATCTCAATTCAAAGTAGTTAAAATAAAATTTAAATATTAACATTTTAAGTTAAATTATTTAAACTTAATTGATGTGATTATATCTTATGGCATAATAATTTTTTTATTGATTTAAATAGATTTAGTGGGTACAAGTTGAATTCCACTACATACACACATATCATATAGTGAGAAATCTGGGCTTTTGATGTACACATCACCTTAATTGCCACACAGGTAGTTTCTCATTCCTCATTCCTGCCCAGCTCCCCTTTGAGTCCTCAGTGATCATTCTGCCATACTGTGTGCCATGGTTTAGCTCCCACTTTTAAGGGAGAAGATGGCATTTGCTTTTCTGTTCCAGAGTCACTTGATTTTGGATAATTGCTTCAAGTTCTATCTAATGCTGCCAAAAAACATTATTTCATTCTTTCTTATCACTGAGTAGTACTCCATGGTAGATATATACCATGCTTTCTTTATCCACTCATCAGCTGATGTGCACTTAGGTTGATTCTTTATCTTTGCAATTGTGAATTGTGCTGGGATAATGTTTATACAAGTGTGGGTATGTTTTGGATATGATGATTTCTTTTCCTCTGTGTAGATACCTAATAGTAGGATTGGAGGACAGAACAGTAGATACACTTTTAGTTCTTTGATAAATCTCCCTACTGATCTCCAACAGTATACCCTTTTCACTGCATCTGTGCCAACATTATTCCTTTTTGACTTTTTAGTAATGACTGTTCTAACTGGAATAGAGTAGTATCTCATTGTGGTTTTAATTTGCATTTTTCTGATGACTGGTGATGTTGAGCAGTTTTTCCCACACATTTCTTAGCCATTTGTGTATCTCCTTTTGAAATGCCTGTTCATGTCATTTGCCTGCTTTTTAATGGGGCTATTTTTTTTTTCTTCTTGCTGTGTTGAGTTCCTTGTAGATTCTGGATATTCATCCTTTATAGGACACATAATTTGCAAATATGTATTTTATCTCATTCTGTAGGTTTTCTGTTTATACTCTTGATTATTTCTTTTGCTGTACAAAAACATTTTAGTTAATTACCTCTCATTTATCTATTTTTGTTTTATCATATTTGCCTTGAGGTCTTTGTCAGAAATTCTTTGCCTAAGCCAATGTCCAGAAGAGGTTTTCCTCCAAGATTTTTTTGTTTCAGGTCTTACACTTAAGTCTTCAATCTATCTTGAGTATATTTTTGTGTATGGTGAGAGATAGGGATCCAGTTTCATTCTCTGCATGTAGCTATCCAATTTTCCAAGCACCATTTATTGCAGAGTGTGCCCTTTCCCCAGTATATTTTTGTCTGCTTTGTTGAAGATCAGTTGGTTGTAGGTATATGGTTTTATTTCTGGGTTCTCTATTCTGTTCCAGGATCTACATGTCTATTTTAATGCCAATATCATGCTGTTGGGTTTCTGTAGTCTTATAATATAATTTGAAGTTAAGTAATGTGAGGCCTCCAATATTGTTATTTTTGCTTAGGAGCGTTTTGGCTATTCAGGCTCTTTTTGGTTTCATATGAACTTTAGAATTTTTTAATAATTCTGTGAAAAATGATGTTAGTATTTTGATAAGAACTGAATTGTGTCTATAGATTGCTTTGGGTGGTGTGATAATTTTAGCAATACTGATTCTTCCATTTCATAAGAATAGACTATTATTTCATTGTTGGTGTAATCAGTGGTTTCTTTCATCAATGATTTGTGGCTGCAAAGCTCTTTCATTTTCTTGGTTAAATTTATCCCTAGGTATTTTTTTCTGGCTATTGTAAATGAGATTGGATTTTCGATTTGGTTCTTAGGTTGGTCATGGATGGTGTATAGAAATGCTATTAATTTTTTATATTGATTTTATAACCTACCTGAAGCTTTGCTGAATTCACTTACCACATCTAGGAAGAATCCTCAGGGTTTTCTGTGTTTGAGATTGTATCACCAATAAACAATGATAATTTGACTTTTACTTTTCCAGTTTGAATGTCCTTTGTTTCTTTTTCTTGCCTGATTGCTCTAGCTAACACTTCCAGTGCTATGTTACACAGAAGTAGTAAAAGTGGATGTTTTTGTCTTGTTCTGCTTCCTTGGGAGAATACCTCCAGCATTTCCTTACCTAGTATGATGCTGGATGTGGTTTTGTCATATATAATTTTTATTTTTTTGAGGTATATTCCTTCTATGTTCAATTTTTGTGGGTTTTTATTGTGAAAGGATCCTGGATTTTATCAAATGCTTTTTCTCCATCTACTGATATGATCACATGGCTTTTGCTTTTAATTCTGTTTGTGTGGAGAATAATTGACTTGTATATGCTGAACCATCCTTGTATCCCCAGAATGAAATCCCTTTGATCATGGTGAATCATTCATTTCATGTGCTGTGGGATTCAGTTTGCTATTATTTTCTTGAGGATTTTTGCATCTCTGTTTATCAGAGACATTGGTGTGTAGTTCCCTTCTTTATGCTGCATCCTTTCTGGCTTCACCACGTGAGTTGGGAAGGATTCACCCCTTCTCAGTCAGCTGGAACAGTTTTAGTGGAATTGGCACCAGTTCTTGTTTGTATGTTCAGTAGAATTCGTCTGTGAATTTGTCTGATCCTGAGCTTGTTTTGTTAGGAGATTTTTTATTACTGATTAAATCTTGCTACTCATCATGAATTTATTCAGAAGTTCTATTTCTTCCTGGTTCAGTTCAGGAGGTTGTATATTTTCAGGAATTCATCCATTTCCTGTGGGTTTTCTATTTTGTCAGCATATGATGTTAATAATAGTATCTGATGATCTTTTGCATTTCTATGTGTTAGTTGTAATGTCTCTGTTTTCATTTCTGATTGTGTTTACATGGATCTTTTCCCTTCTTTTCTTGGTTAGTTCAGCTAGTGGTTTATCAATTTTGTTTATCTTTTCAAATAAACAACTTTTTGTTTTGTTGATCCTTTATAATTTTTTTGGCTTCTATTTCATTTAGTATTGCTCTAATCTTTATTTTTTCTGCTAAGTTTTAATTTTGTTTTTTCCTGTTTTTCTACTTCCTTAAGGTGTGATGTTAAGTTACTAATTTGTGATCTTTCTGTCTTTTCCATGGAGGCATTCAACACTATAAATTTCCTCTTAGCTTATCAGGCAAAATTTGCTTTAAAAAAAATAAAGAAACTTCTTGCACTGCTTTTACTATATCCCACAGGTTTAAGTATGCTGTTTTCATTTTCATTCATTTTTTTGTTTTTATTTATTTATTTATTTCATTTTTAAAAAAACTAATTTTTTTTATTATTGTTTCAGGTTAATTTGAGGGTACAACAAATTAGATCACAATGTTTGCATTTGTTAGGTCAATTCCCTCTTATAATTGTGTCCCACCCTTAACAGGTATGCCATATACCTTAACATTGCCCATTAAGTAGGAGCACACCCACCCCTGTCCCCTCCCCCCTTACCCCCCACAATAATTTTCATCTTTATTTCTTCATTGACCCAGTGAGCATTTGGGAGCATGTTGTTTAACACCATGTGTTTGTATGGCTCCTGAAATTTCTCTTCATATTGATTTCTAGATTTATTCCTCTGTATTCTGAAAAGATATGTGGTATGATTTCAATTTTTTTAAATTTGTTATGACTTGTTCTGTGCCCTAAAATTGTGGTCTATCTTGGAGAATGTTCCATATACTCATGAAACTAATGTATATTCTGTAGCTCTTGGTGAAACATTCTGTAATTGTCTGTTCAGTCCATTAAGTCTAAGGTCCATTTCAAGTGTAGTGTGTTTTTGTTGGTTTTGTCTCAATGATCTATCTAGTGCTATGAGTCAGGTGTTGACATTCCCACTAATATTGTTTTGGTGTCCAGCTCTTTCTTCACTTATAGTAATATTTGTTTTGTGAATCTGGGTATTCCAATGATTGGTGCATTTATATTTAGGAACATTATAACCTCTTGCTGAATTGTCTTTTTTATGGTTTTTTATTTAAAGTATGCTTTATCTGATATAAGTATGCCATTTGTGGTTTCCTTTGCATAGAAAATATTTTTCTACCCTTTATTCTCAGTCTATACGTGTCTTTATAGGAAAGGTGGGTTTCACGTAAACAGCATATAGTTGGATCATATACTTTTTAATTTTGTATTCATAGTGCCAATTTATATGTGTTAAGTGGAACACTCAATCCATTTATATTCAAGGTTAATATTGATATGTGAGGCTTTGTTCTTATCATATCTTTAATTGATTTCTAATTTTGTAGCTTCTTTGTTTTTTTCTGTCTTTCTGTCTTTGCTGAACTTCTATTGTGTTGCTATTTTATTTCTTTCTCTTTCTCTTTGTGTGATTGTTTTATTAGACCCCTGAGTTTTATAAACTCAGGTGAGTGCTGGCCTTTAATTTCTATGTTTAAGACATCTTTAAGCCAGCCTGGTGGTGACATATTCTTCAGGCATTTGCTTATCTAGGAATAGTTTCCTGAGCCTGTGCCCAGAGAAGGTGGGGGTATTTCTGTACTGTCAGGAGACTATACAGTGCAGTTTTCTTGAGACTAAGTCCCAAAGCAGCCAAATGCATAATGGTGTTTACAATCCCAGATGTTGGGAACCTGGTTTCCTCACCCCTCCCCAGCAAGGCCAGACCTGGCACCACAATCAGCCCAAACTCAGCCTGAAAATGCTATGATTCCACCCAGGCAGCAGTGTGGGTAAGAAACTGTGGACAATGCCTATATTCACACATCAGTCTCACTCCTTCATTCACAGCAGACCTTCTCCAGGGTGTGGGTCCCTGGGCACCTCCTCCCCCTCAGAAGCCTGCGTGGGCCTATGCCCAGGCCTTCAGAGTGGCACCTGCTCAAGCTGCTCCAGGCTCAGCTGCTTGTGGTGTTCTATGTGGGTCCTTTTCGGGAGAAACCTTTTATGAAATCTCTAAGCAGCTGCCTATATCATGCCATGGGTCAGGGAGTTCTCTTGTAGCCAAGACTGTAAACACTCCTCTCAGAGTACAGAGCCCTGGAGGCTTTTCTCGTGCTATTTCCCTGCATCCAGGTCTTGGATGCTAAGACCTCTCAAAACTCCTTCATTCACCAAATATTTCCTTAGCACTTCGAAAGGCTAGAAGCTTGGGCTACAGTAGTGTCCAGCACAGGTATGCCCCTTTTCCTCTTGGGCTTTACTGTACACCTGGGAAAACAGACCTTGAATAAGGATCACAAATGCAGTGAGAGATGCAGAGACAGTAGCCGCTATGCTGGGGACAGTGAACAGCAGGAGCAAGTTCAAATGGGCACACAAGTGTGTGTTTATAGAGTCACAAGTCTCACTCACATTTCGGTCCTTAGCACCCTCCATGGTGTGTGATATATAGTGTATCATCCAAAAGTATTCTTTTGGTGAATAATAGAAAGTAAATGTAATATTTGCAGTAAGCAAAACACACCTATGAGACCCTTAATAGCCAATCATAACAATAAACCAACCAACCTAGAACTATATATATATACATGAAGTAGTCAAGTTGGGAAAGAAGCAATGACAGAGACATACATGGGATGAAGGTATCTTCAAGAAGACACTAATCACTCCCAAAGCTGGAACAGGAGAGAGTGGGGAGGGCAGGCAGGTCACAGGTGGCTTCCTGCAGGTGGCGAGCCGGGTGTGTGGGAAGCAGTGGGGCAGTGACAGAGGAGGTTTGGGAGTGCCCATCTCAGCTTCTCCTCAGACATGCTGAAGGGACAACTCATATCCTTACAGGATCCTGGTAAATTTTTACATTTCTTGATATAATATTTCAAGAGGAAATAGGCTGACTTTATTAATATAATGGATGTGACTTCTTCCACTGCCATAAAAATGAACTTAATATTTTGGGTTTGTCTTTGCACTTAAGTAATCAATCACTGTTTCCTCTAGGGTGACTCTGGTGGCCCACTGGTGCAAGAAGACTCACGGAGGCTTTGGTTCCTTGTGGGGATAGTGAGCTGGGGAGACAGGTGTGGTGAACCAGATAAGCCTGGAGTGTACACCCGAGTGACAGCCTACCGTGACTGGATCGCCCAGAAAACTGGGGTCTAGTGCAATAAGTAATCTCTGTTGCCACGTATGTAGAGTGTCCCTTTTTAAACTTCAAAACTTCATTTTTGCTGAAAAAGAAACTAGAAGTATCTTATTTAAATATCATGTTATATAAATATGATTTAATAAGCACTAATTTTTCTTTATTATTATAGGCTTTTGTTTTCTCAAGTAAACTATATGAATATTGCATAGTATTGTGACTGTGTAACAGAAGAAACATATTAAACAAATCACATAGTTAACAATTTCATTACAATCATGGTGAGTGCTGGTAGGAAGGAAAATAAACACATTGGGAGTGTGTAACAGAGGAGCCTGGACAAGTCTGAAGGTCAGGGACCTTTTCTTAGGGAGCTGACAAGTGAGGAAAGTGCAGGAACTTGGGAAGAAAGATGTGCTGGAACAACATTCAAGACAGAAAGAATAATGTGAGGAAAGAAAAACATGATTAAATTAAAATTTCTGTTTACTCAGTATTTTATAGGTAGTGAATCCTAAAATTAAAACTGTGAAACCATTGCATAGCCTGTATCAATCTTAATTATCCTGTAAGAACGTGCTTCCATAGAAACTAACTGATGAATTTCAGGTACTTAAAATCTGAGCTTAAATAGTTCACTCTTCAACTGAGACCAAGAGAATTATAAATAATTTTTATGATTACTTTTATTAAAAACACCCTTCATCAGGGTGGCACCTGTGGCTCAAAGGAGTAGGGTGCCAGCCCCATATTCTGGAGGTGGTAAGTTCAAACCCAGCCCCAGCCAAAAACTGTGAAAAAAAAATCCTTCCTTCTACATAAAGGAGAGACTATATCTAGTCCACACAGAAGCTGAAACACAGCTACACAACCTACTTAGGTACCTTACAACTACATAAAGCCTTTATATGACAAATAATGTTAATTTTAACAACTAAAGATTAGGTAAGAATTCCCCGCTACAGACTTCCCACCACTGCCAGTTATTTTTGAGAGTGAAAGGGTCCTCAGCTGCTAAATCCAAGTAATGAATGAAAGAGGGGAAAAAAGGGAAGATTTGATTTGACAGAGAAAACTTAAATGGGTTAATACCAATAAAACTATTTTGAAAAAAAGAAACTTTCTCTTTCACACACACACCACTAAACAATATAAATAAAATCCATAGAGCTTTACAGGCACAGTGCCCCATGTAGTGTGCTCTCACATGCCCTTGGAGCCCCTAATGGCTGGCTGCACCCACCTGTGCCTCCCGCCTAACCTCTGCAACTGGGGCTGGCATAGCTTCATGCACTGTGGGGGAAATTTCTTGCATTTCCTAATGTAAAATGACAAAAAGGCCTATATTCAAGCTATTTCTTTCACTGGAAAAAAAAAGTTGAAAATGTAAACAACTCTTGGCAAAATATACAAATAAATCTTTGCTACACTTTGTCAAATAAACATTTTAAATTTTTTTCCCAGCCCAATTATTTACGAAATTTATGATTTCTGAAGGATAATCCAAAACAACTTATTTAAATGGTTTTGCAGTGAGAGAATTACTGGCTGGACTTCAGCCTTGGAGCTTCCTGCTTCATATGATCAGGCCCCAAACTGCCGCAGGTGGGCCTAGTACTCCCTTGACACCTGTGAGGATAGAGCCACGCCAGCATCTGAGGGAGTCTTATGTTGGGCGGGTATGTGCACGTGTGTGCACATATGTTTGGGTGTGCATGTGTGTGCCCAGTGTGTGTGTGAACATGTGTGCATGTGTGCCTGCACATGTATGCACAAGCCCTCTTATCATATATTGAAAGCTATATAAAAAGTTATTTATTTGGTAGAAACTAGTGAAAAAGGTTATTTATTTAAAACATTAAAAAGTTACTTAGTAAATAAAATATGTATATTTTGGAGGTGGAGGCAAGATGGCTGACTGGAGGCAGCTTTCCACAGAGGCTCCCATCCAGAAGGAGAGTTAAAGGACAGAAGTTTAGCAAGTAAGACGATGGTTTGGAGCTGAGCCAAGAGAGAAGGTTGAAGAACACACATCAACCTTGCTGAGTCAGGCTGTGACCCCAAGGATACAAACATAGGTACAAAATCAGTCACCAGGAGGATGGGAGTCCCCTCCCCCATGAGAATGGCTCACAGTGTACTTTCTACAAACAAGTGAGCAGAAATCCAATGTCCTCTCATTTTATCCCATGGGAGAGACCCTCTAAACACTGGACCTTCTTCCACTACTGGGGTGCCATGGCACTCTCCTGCCAGGCATAAAATTGTATAAAACTGTATATATTCTTTACTGACAATTCTGAACTCCCAGCACTCCCCTCCACTCTCACCCTGAGATCTAGAAGCCTATCCCCCATGGAGTCCAGATTCTTGGGCATTTTCTCTAGAGGTGTGGACAGGGTATAGGCTATTGCAGGCCTGTGCTGATTCTGCAGCACAGGGGTAAGGGGAAAACAGTGACTGAAGGAACCATACGGGAAAGGGAGAGGCTGTGCTCCCCTCCTCCCCCCAGCACAGAGCAGCAGTGGCAGCAGTGGGAACAATAGGGCTCACACCCTTGGGGATATTTTGGAAGGACACTCCCTGTCTCTCTGGGCAACCAGAGAAAGCCGGGCATCTTCTCTGGTAGCAGACACTGGCAGAATAGGTCTGGAACAGTAATACAGGCCCTGTGAGTAAAGGGTAGGCTTGAGGCGGTACCAGCCTGGGTGGAGCACGGCAGGACAGAGAATTGAAGATGCATGCACAGAGATGGCATACTCCTAGGTCGGGACTGTGCTAAGACTGCTTTAGTGAGCCTAAGAAACACCCTGCCCTCAGGGGATCATAGCTGAGACAAAGGCAGGGTGGGCCAAGGCTGGAACTCCGAGCTGAATGTGAGCTCTAACTGCACCCACCCCAACACAGACTGCAGCTCTGGGCAGCGGCACAGACTGGGGCTGAGCCGCAGTTTCTGTGAATTCAAACAGCACCTGGTCTGCAAGGGAATATAGCCAGGACAGAATCACAAATTCTGCGCAAATATAAGTGTCAGCAACATCAATCAGGGGCAGGGTTAAAACTCAGCAAACCGCCCCAGCTTACATTAACCACCCAAGGTTGTCAGGCCTCAGTTTCCCCTGATCCATCCATCCCCTGATGGATGGTGGCAGAGTGAGGAGGCCTGGCCAAGGAGAAATAAGATCTCTCTGTGACTCAGGCAGGCTTAAACCTCTGGAGCATCTCCTCATTGGAGGGAACTAGGTCATTGCCCTGTGGGGTTACCAGTGACTGGGTGGGACAGAGGTGCAAGGTGGGGAAGGAAGCATCAACCTTCCCAGACTACTTCATGTGCTGGGGAGTCTTTCTGACTCCATGGAGTACCAGAACAAATCATACTTGAGCTGTTATATAGTTGCCAGAGACCTTTGAACTCCCTCACTTGAGACCGAGTGCTAACTAGGACAATTGACTTGGATCTCTCAGACTGGACAAATCACCTGAGTACTATCCAAAGTGGTACCCTGGGTGTGTGGTTGTGGAAAGGTTTAATTTTCCTTTTCCAATTGTTGCCCATGGGGGGCAGGGTGACTTAATTGCTAGTATTTCTCCATAGCTGAGACTTCAACCCAGACTAACTAATTCACTAGAGTAGGACAGAGACCAGCTGAAAATAAGACAGAGCCAATTAGTCCCACCACACCAAGTAAGTCCCCAGTGTCTCAGGCTGTAGCACTGTATGGATCCTTTGCAAAGCTTTAGGGGAAAAAGTACAGACACCAGTCACAGCTCTTGGGCAAAGGGCTGGTTAATCACTACTCCAGGAGCCAACTTTACCTTATCTGCTCATCTACTCAAAAGGTGTAAAATAATCGTGGGGTGGAATCAGCAGAAAAACTCTGGTAACATGAATGACCAGAGTAGATCAACTCCCCCAAGGAACGATATGGCAGACACAACTGAAGATCTCATTCATAGACAAATGGCTGAGATGTCAGAAATCGAATTCAGAATTTGGATTGCAAATAAGATTAATAGAATGGAGGTAAAGTTGGAATTAGAAATTCAAGGAGCAATTTAAAAGTTATCTCAGGAATTCAAAGACAAAATCACCAAAGATTTTGACACGTTGAGACAAGAATTTGCAGACCTGAAAGATCTAAGAAATACATAGAATCCCTCAGTAATGGAATGGAGCAAGCAGAAGAAAGGATTTCTGACATTGAAGACAAAGCTTTTGAATGCTCCCAAGCATTCAAAGAGGAAGAGAAATAAAGAACAAAAATGGATCATTCTCTCAGAGAGGTCTAGGATAACTTGAAGAAAACTAATATTTACCTTATAGGAATTCCTGAAGGCAACAAAATTGTTTCACAAAGCACAGAGGCCCTTCTTCTTGAAATTATGAAGGAAGAACTTTCTGGACATGCCAAGAAATTCTGAAATGCAGATAGCAGACAGTTTCAGAACCCTAGCATGACTAAACCCAAATAAGACAACCCCCAGACACATCATAATTAACTTCAATAAAGTTAATATGAAGGAAAAAATTCTGAAAGCAGCCGGACGTAAGAAAACCATAACCTACAAGGGAAAGAATATTAGAATGACTACAGAACTCTCTGCTGAAATCTTTCAAGTTAGAAGAGGGTGGTCATCAATTTTTAATCTCCTAAAACAAAATAACTTTCAACCCAGGATCCTGTATCCAGCTAAACTGAGTTTCATTTATGATGGAGAAATTAAATACTTTAATGACATTCACATGTTGAAAAAATTTGCCATAACTAAACCAGCTCTCCAAGATATTCTCAGAACTATCCTCCGTAATGACCAGTGCAACCCTCTACTACAAAAGTAAACTCACTCCTTAAACTTTTGACAAAATTCCAACTTCCATAGTGGTGAAAGGATTAAAAATGTCCACTGGCCTTTCGAAAAACTCAATACCCAAATTCTACCAGGCTTATCAATATTCTCAGTTAAAGTGAATGGTTTAAATTGTCCTCTAAAGAAGCACAAGTTGGCTGACTCGATA